TACTTAAAAAAGTAGACATTCAAGAACTAATATTTCTATTTCAGTGTGGTTTTTTAACTTCTAATCCAAGAGTCTTCATCACCGATCTATTACCAAATATCTTAGCCTCTAGTTCTAGATTATTGTTCTACATGACATCAAGCATTAAACCAGATTCCGCACCCATACCCATGCCTACGTCATGTTGTGTCCAATATGGATATGATACTAAATTAAAGAGTCTAAGCAGCATAGTCAAACTCAGTAACTTGGTTATGTGTCCAAAATAAATCCGTGATCCTGTTTCAGATTCCCAAGCAAATTTAAATGAGTTATTTTCCAAATACACCTCAGCCACCTTCTTGCAACGACTATACTCAAACACATCCATCAAAATGACATATGAAAACAGCCTAGAAAAACAGAAACAATAAACAAACCTAAGGAAAGCTTTCTGTACAGAAGTGCCTATATCTCCAGCTGAGTATGCTTCCTGTTTGACCACCTGTCGATGAAGATACTTGGCACAGAACTTAGAAACCGCCTTACCTGCAGATCATGTAAAAATAAAGACTGGACCAACCAGAACAAATATGAAAGAGAATATTGAGCTCAAGGAAAAGGACGATAAAAGATTGAGTTGGATTTTTGAACTCTATCAATTCAGTGATAGGGCCATATATTAGTATTCATAGGCAGCAACAAAATTTAAGCATTAGATGGTCATGGGACCATTAACCCCAACAACAGAATTCCCTGAAAATTTTAGACATAGAACCTTATAACCACTACAATATATGTAGGATTTATATATATGTATAAAGAAATCATACTGTTAAGAACAAAGAGAATAAAAAAGAAATTGACAAAAAAGAACTAAAGAGAGAAATACCAACTTATCTTGCAAAAGAATAGCAGGTTAATCTCCATACAAACAGACAAAGAAATATTCTTGAAAGTATCCACGAGCCTTAGCCTATAAGGATGCCAAGAAAGAAATCTTATCTCCAAGAATATATGATCTCCAAAAATTTTAGCATTTCTCTCCAGAAATATAAAGAGCTCGAAAGAGCTTTAATCCCCTTCCTTATACTTGATTCCAGCAGAACCAATAAAAGAAAAGACTCAATAGTACCAAAACAAGCCCCAGAGAGGCCAAAAGTATCAAAAATCTAATGCTAAGTTCTCCAAGTCACATCACAATGCAAAGAGAAATAACAATGAGGCTCTGCGTCTCTAAGGCACATCACAACAACACTCAGAGACAAGGCAGTATTCAGTCTTCGAGCTTGGAACATATTGTTGGTATTAAGTCTACCTAGAATCACAGGCCAAACAAAAACTTTTACCTTAGAAAGAGCTGAAATCCACTATAAGCATTAATCAGAAACAACATTAGGGGATGCAGGATTATGAATTAGAAAACCAAGGTAAGACTTGCAAGAATAAGTATCTACTGACTCCAAAGATCAGAATCTGCAATCATGTTATTGAAAAAAAATAGCAGACTTGAGGAGATGAATCAATAAAATAATATCAGCAGCTTCCCGATCATTAAGATTTCTGAAGGAAGACAGATTCCAAGACTATTGAATCATTAAAATGATTCAGAAAGAGGAAGCCGGAGAATGACAAATATGAGACAAACTGCAGGCGAGGAAAGCAGCAGGACTAGTCTCCTTGCGGAGAACATTGTCTAGGCTACCATTGAGTAAGTACTTATAGTTGTAAACCAGGACTCATCTGATTCTTCACAGTACCATCCTTGAAGCTGAACTAAAAATTCTTGTGCCTTAAGCAACCAACACAGCTATAAACCCAGTGATAAATGGATTGTAAGTACCATTAGTCCTCTCACTCATTTCTGCTCTCTATTAAACCTTCCCCTCCATTTCTCTCTTCTTAACGAAAACCATAGAGGTCTTCTTTGTTAGATTGTTGACGTTGCGGATCAATGGTGGAGACAGAGACGATTGCATTCCAGGCAGAGATCAATCAGTTGCTGAGTCTGATCATCAATACCTTCTGCAGCAACAAAGAGATCTCCCTTCGTGAGCTTATCAGCACTTCTTCTGATGCGTTGGATAGGATCAGTTCGAGAGCTTGACAGACGAGCAAGCTTGATGCTCAGCCTGAGCTTTTCATCAACATTGTTCCTGACAAGACCAACAACATATTGTTGATAATATTGGCAAGGCTAAGGCTGATTTGGTGAACAATCTCAGTACTATTGCAAGGTCTGGTACCAAGGAATTCATGGAAGCATTGGCTGCCAGGGCTGACGTGAGCATGATTTGGCAGTTTGGTGTTGGTTTCTACTCAGCTTGGTTGTCAAGAAGGTTATTGTTACCAAAAAGCACAATGATGATGAGCTATTTTTCTGGGAATCCCAAGCTGGATCATTCACTGTGACTAGGGAAACCTCTGGCGAAAGCCTTGGCATGGGTACTAAGATTACTCTCTTCCAGAACGAGGATCGACTTGAGTATCTTGAGGAGCGCCGTCTGAAAGACTTGATCAAGAAGCAATCTGAATTCATTAGCTACCCAATCTCTCTGTGGGTTGAGAAAACCACTGAGAAGGAGATCTCTGATGATGAGGATGAAGAAGAGACGAAGAATGAGGGGAAAGTTGAAGATGTTGATGAAGAGAAGGAGAAAGAAGAGAAAAAGAAAAAGAAAATCAAGGAACTGTCTCATGAGTGGTCTTTGGTGAACAAGCAGAAACCCATCTGGATGCGGAAGCCTGAGGAAATTGCCAAGGAAGAATATCCTGCTTTCTCTAAGAGCCTTACAAATGACTGGGAGGAGCACTTGATACAATTCATACTTCATATTTCAAAAATAAAGTACCGTTGATCCTTGCACAACCAAACTTCTTGCTAGCCACCGATCAACCTGAGATCAGAGACCCTTTAACCCTTAAAGACCATAGCTAAAGCCCCTTTACAGACTCTGTTCCGATTAGATCCCATACTTGCTGACTTCATCTCTGAAATTGACAACCTGGATAACAGTCTATTCAATCTAGACATTTTGTCTTCTTTACTTCTGCTAATACTCCTCTTTCTTCACACCATCAAGAAAACAATTATGACAAAAACTCCAATTATAGAGAGGAGATGCAACTTGGTAAAACCTGCAACTTGTTTGCTTTGACTTCAAGCAAAGCCACCTGAACCAAATGGTGCTGCATTGCAGCCTCCACCTTCATGGCCAAACCTGACCTTCCAACAAATCCAAACTGCATTGACAAATGAAATTAAATAGCAACTGAAATGAATAGCTATATCTCCAATCTTTTTCCCTC